GAAATAAATGAAAGTGTTCCTGGAACTAAATAAAAATAATAATACAACACACACAAAATAAACTTCTGAAACAGTTTAGAGCAGTCCTAAGAGGGAAGTTTATAGCTCTAAGTGCCTACATTAAAAAAATCAGAAAGAGCACAAATAAATGACTTAACATTGCAACTCAAGACTCTGGAAAAGCAAGAACAAATTAAACCCAAATCTAGCAGAGGAGAAGAAATATAAAAAATCAGAGCAGAAATTATGAAATAGAAACAAAGACAGCAATACAAAGAATCAATGAATCCAAGAGCTGGTTCTTTGAAAAGCTAACCAAGATAGACAGAGCCTTATCCCAGTTAACCAAAAGAAAGAAAGAGCAAATCCAAATCCACAAAATCAGAGATGAAAGGGGAAACATCACAAGAGACACCAGAAAGATACAGAACATTTTAAGGGAATACTTTAAAAACCTATATCCTACTAAACTTGAAGTCCTAAAAGAAATGGATGTATATCTAAAGGCATGGGAACCACCAAAACTAAACCAAGAAGAGATTAACAACTTAAACAAATGCATAACACAAAAAGAAATTGAAACAGTAATACAAAACCTCCTGACGAAAAAAAGCCCAGGACCAGATGGATTTACAGCAGACATTTAAAGAAGATCTACATCCAATGGTACTTAAGCTATTCAAAAAAAATATAAATGGAGGGAGAACTTCCAAATTCCTTCTATGAAGCCAGCAGCACTGTAATACCAAAGCCAGGTAAAGATACAACCAAAAAAGAAAACTATAGACCCATATCATTAATGAACATAGATGCAAAAATTCTCAACAAAATACTTGTAAACCGCATACAGACACACATCAAAAAGATCATCCACCATGATCAAGTCGGCTTTATCCCAGAGATACAGGGATGGTTCAATATATGTAAGTCAATAAATGTCATAAATCATATAAATGGGCTCAAAGACAAGAACCACATGGTCATCTCAATAGATGCATAGAAGGCCTTTGACAAAATTCAACATGAATTTATGTTCAAAGTCCTAGAGGGAATTGGGCTGGAGGGAATATACCTCAACATAATTAAAGCCATATACAACAAACCCACTCCCAACATCATTCTAAATGGAGAAAAGCTGGAAGCATTCCCACTGAAATCAGGAACCAGACAAGGCTGTCCACTATCCCCACTTCTCTTTAACATGGTGCTTGAAACTCTTGCAAGAGCAATAAGACAAGAGAATGAAATTAATGGAGTAATAATTGGAAAAGAAGAGATCAAATTAGCCCTTTTTGCAGATGATATGGTATTATATCTAAGGGACGCCAGAAATTCCACCCGAAAACTCCTAGAAATTATTAACACCTTCAGTAAAGTGGCAGGTTACAAAATTAACGTACAAAAGTATGTAGCCTTTCTATATACCAATAACAAGCAATCAGAGAAAGAACACATGGAAACACTCCCCTTAACAATAGGTGAAAAAAAATATCTCAAACTTGACCAAAAACATTAAGGAGCTCTACAATGAAAATTTTAAATCTATAAAGAAAGAAAGTGAGAACATCAGAAGATGGAAGGACTGCCCATGCTCATGGTTTGGAAGAGTTAATATTGTGAAAATGACCATCCTACCAAAAGTCATGTATAGATTCAGTGCAATGCCAATCAAAATCCCCATGACATTTTTCACAGAATTGGAAAAAACTATCCTAAGATTCATGTGGAAGCACAAAAGACCTTGGATAGCCAAAACAACCCTGAGCACTAAGAGCAATGCCGGGGTATTACTATACCAGATTTCAAGCTGTGTTACAGAGCTATAGTCATAAAACCAACATGGTACTGGCACAAAAATAGACCCAAAGACCAATGGAACAAAATTGAAGACTCAAGTATGAGCAAATGCAATTTCAGCCACCTGATATTTGACAAAGGGACATCAACCGGAGGAAAGACAGCATGTGCAGCAAATGGTGCTGGCAAAACTGGATCTCCCCCTGTAGAAGAAGGTAAGTAAACCCCTATCTTTCACCCTGCACAAAAGTCAATTCCAAATGGATCAAAGGCCTCAATGTAAAGCCTGAAACTCTGAAACTGTTAGAAGAAAACATTGGGAAAAACCTACAAGATATAGGTGCAGGAAAGGATTTTCTAAACCGGACATCATTTACTCAGGAAACAAGGGCAAGAATTAACAAATGGGACCTCATTAAACAATAAAGCTTCTGTACGTCAAAGGAGGCAACCAAGGAAGCAAAGAGAAAACCCACAGAGTTGGTAAAAATCTTCACCAGTGACACATCTGACAGAGGTTTAATACACAGAATATATAATCCTCCTAATTGGCTTTGTTTGTTCATTTTTTTACCTTGTTGTACCTAACAAAGTCTAGTTTGACAAATGGAGCTACATTTTTGAACCACAGAAATAGGTTTGTCATCTAATTTTCATGTTTATACTCTATGCCCAAACCTATGTGCTAATCTCATAATTTATGCGCAGATATTCCAAAGTGAAAATAAAACAGTAATAAAAGTCCAGTCTTTAAATTCTATTGACCAAAATATTATCTTCATTTATATTAAAATTCAAACCACAGAAGATTTGAATGTGAACTCAAAAAGATTGAATTTCAACTTATTTTCATTATCAGTACTGAACTGTTTGGTACTAACTGATTAATCAGCTGAACTAATTCTTCCTTTCAAGCACACTTGCTTTTGTTAAACTAAATTTTTGGTGCAATCAGGTTACCTTAACCCATAAAAAAAAAAAAAAAAAAAAAAAAACCACCTTAGTTGTTTGCTACTAGCAGAATTCGCTATAAGCTTCTTGATCGTTTCAACATTTAAATGAGATCAAAGCAAATTATCTAAATACGTATTTAGTTCCTATAAGAACTGTCACTGCTGAAGCCCCTCCCATGTCTCTTCATATGCTTTTTTTTTTCATATGTGACTTTTGTTTTGGCAGCACACATGGCAAACAGAGCCTGATGATCAAACATGCTTCCTCAGTCCTTGTCTCTCATGCCTTTAAGTAGTTCTTCAATAACTTTTTCATTAGACTAAACTACCACTCTAAAGCATCTTTAGTTTCTATCACAGCAGTGAGATGGAATGTTTTTATCTTTATATTTTTCTGGCTTTGTCACCAGAAAACAAAGTAAATTTACAGTGGAACTGTTGCTGAGTAGTCAGTTGTTCAGTGATTGCTAAGGATGAGAGAGAAGGATGGAGTCACTGAGATGTGCACACATTTTAACACTGAGTGCACTCAACAATAATAAAACAGAGTGGCCATGTGCTGTTTTACTTGGCCTTTCTGGTTGACCCTCTAAACCGGTCATAGCTAGGTAGGCAAGTCTACCTTTCCTTTCTGACTTCATGTCAAGCAACACCTATTAGAACTGCATCCACCTTAATTCCTGACCTTAGTGTGGCTGTTTGTCCTATTACCCTATAGTGCTGAGATTTTACTTAATTAGATCTCCGTGTTCTACATTTAAAGAAGTGTTTTGCTTTTTAAAATAATGGTGATCCACCCTTTCAGTCCAAGGTACTCACATTCATGGATCAATAGTTAACATTATGAATATGCCTGAAGAGTGACAGGAGGGCTCTGAACACTTCCACGATGTGAAAATCCACCCGTACTGCCTTCCTAATCTTACCTGACCAGGAAAATAAAATGCCTGTGAAGAATATATTCTTTATACTCATAGCAGTCTAAGAACTAGTTCATTTGTTTGTCATACAGGCCCATTGGCTAAGAGAAATAGCTTCAAAATCAGATGAGTTGTTAGGTATGGTGGCACACGACTGTAATTTCAATAGTCAGGAAGTTAAGGCAGAAGGCCTTAAGTTAAGGCCTCATGTTAGAGGCACAGTTTGTGCTATACAGAGAGACCTTATCCAAAAAACAAAAAGAGGAAGAAGAAGAAGAAGAAGAAGAAGAAGAAGAAGAAGAAGAAG